GTTCATCCAGCATGTCCTTAGCTGCAGATCTGACTAGGTGGCTCCCCTACTCAGCCAGCTCCCATGGCTCCCTATTGCCTCTGGGTCAGTTCTTTGCCTTTTTTGAGACCCAGACCCTTTGGGCAGTCATTCTGGCAAAGCTCACAGACCCCTTCTAAGAATCACGTTTTCATAAACATAAAATAAAATACACAGAATGAGAAAGGAAATGAATTCTATTGAAATAACAATTATCAAAAAAAATTCTTTTCATCAAGTTCATGAACCTCAGGTTAAGAATCCCTGGTTAGGATTATGTGTAAGCTCCTCTGTTCGGCTTTCAAAGCCCCACACAACCTGGTCCTGGCCTCCCTTTCCAGGCTCCCTGGACATTACCTTCCCCACACTCTGCATTCCAACCACTTGGCCTCCTCTCTGATCCTCACACATGATTCCCACCTCCCACCTCCAAGCCTTTGCACTGGCCATGCCCTGCCCCGGGAACTCGCCCCCTCTTTGAATCCATCTCCTAGTATTTCACCTCTTCCTTCTAGTCACAGCCCAGCACCAGCTTGTGCTGGAGGCCCTTCCCCACCCCCCTGCTCCTACCCTCCCTCCCAGTTGTTTGTCTGCATCTGTCTGCATCTTTCCCTTTATATTTATGCTGACTAGGTCAGCCATCTGCTCCATAAGTACCTAAGCTCCTTGTCATGGCTGCATTCTTTTCTCTTGTGTCCCTAACACTTAGTATCAGGCCAGGAGCATAGCAGGTGGCTAATCAACGCCTGTTGATTGATGGAGTTCCAGGCATTTCTCCTGCTAGATGAAACACCGTCAGCTGGGCTGGCTGGGGAAGACCCAAAGCCTGCCTCAGCTCAATTTGGCCCAGCGTTTTAACCTAACAAAATCTCCTTTGGGTCATGACCTTGTTGTCCCACGAGTTAGCCCTCCTTCCCGGCCTTGAGTCATCTGCAAACGTGCAAGTCGAGCTGAATAAAACAACCAAAGCAGCCCAGAGAAATCATGTTCCTATTTGACTGGTTTCACTTGGGAAAACATAGGCTGGATTCTTAGGGTGAGAGAAGGCAGTTCCTGCCACCACATCCTGAGCCTGGTGCCAGACTTTTCTGTCTCCTGCCTGCTTTGCAGCTGAGAGCAGGCAGCTCAGGACAGGCCTCAGGCCTGGGGGTCCACAGGGTGGCCCATATTCACCTCCTTTCTCTCCTTTGAAGAATCCTAGGCTTGGGCTGGACTGGGCTGGACTGGGATAGCCTAGAATGGCCTGTGCTGGCCTGGGCTGATCTAAACTAGCCTGAGCCAGGCTGGCCTGTGCTGGACCAGGAGGAGGAGAGAGATTCTGAGAAGGCCCATAAGACCCGGAGCTCTGAAGGGCAGAGGGGACACTTTGAACCAGAGTAAAGCTGCCTAGACAGAGCAGGAGCCAGGCATGCTGGGAGACCAGACCAATTCTCTAGCCTCCAGAATTCTCCAAATATCAGGATAAAAGCTGAGTTAGGAGTCGGTAGGAGGGGAGCCATCTCTCTCTCACCTGGGAGACTTCTGTAAAATGGCCATCCCGGTCCAGCCCAGCCCAGCACAGGCCAGCCCCGTGTGTTTATCTGGGCTACAAGATCCACGCAAGGAGAGGTCAGTCCATCCTGCCCGTTCTCCGTCTCTTCCAGCCAACTCACCTCATGTAGCCACCCTTGGGGGCACCACCAGGAGAGGGCTGCCCAGAGCTGAAGAGAGTGGGCTAGGCGGGTGGGAGAAAGGGGGACCCTCTGAAACTGCAGGTTCTGGTGCCCTTCCCGACCCACTCCCCAGACCTTCCCTCAGGACAGACCCCAGCTCTGGAATCCCCTGAGAACCTCCGGGACCTTCCAGTTCCTACTGCCACCAGAAAGCCAGGCTTGCCCGCAGTGAGAACTTTGACATTTCCAGTCCAGAGCCGCAGTCACGTTCTCTTCCTTTGGCTTCCATCACACACACACACACACACACACACACACTCTCTCTCTCTCTCTCTCTCTCTCTCTCTCTCTCTTTTCCCCCTCTCTCTTTCGGTCTCTCTCTCTCCCCCTCTCTCTCTCTCCCTCCCTCTTCTCTCCTCTCCTCTCTCTCTCTCTCTTCTCTCTCTCTCTCTCTCTCTCCCTCTCTCTCTCTCTCTCTCTCTCTCTCTCTCTCTCTCTCTCTCTCTCTCTCTCTCTCCCCCTCTCTCTCCCTTCTCTCTCTCTCTCTCTCTTCTCTCCCTCTCTCTCTCTCTCTCTCCCTCTCTCTCCTCTCTCTCTCCTCTCTCTCTCTCTCTCTCTCCCTCTCTCTCTCCTCTCTCTCCCTCTCTCTCTCTCTCTCTCTCTCTCTCTCTCTCTCTCTCTCTCTCTCTCTCTCTCTCTCTCTCTCTCTCTCTCTCTCTCTCTCTCTCTCTCTCTCTCTCTCTCTCTCTCTCTCTCTCTCTCTCTCTCTCTCTCTCTCTCTCTCCCTCTCTCTCTCCCTCTCGGAATCTCCCCACCAGCCACGGCTCAAGGACTCATCTCCGCACAGACTCCATCCACGGCACGTACTGCGCCGTGTGTATCCGCACTTGCTCGGCTTACAGCCTCCCGGTGCTTTCGAGGACGGCTCGCTTCCTCCATTGTCTCTGTGTTCCTAGCGCCCAGCGCACCGCCTGGCACAGAGCAGGCGCTGCTGAAGGATGATAATAACAGCTAACATTTACATGGCGCTTTAACGCATGCGGCGCATGATCTATCGCAGCCCTGTGAGGGAGGCGCTATCGCTATCCCCATTTCAGAGAAGAGGACACTGAGGTAGAGGAAGGCCCAGGACTTAAGCCCAGCCCTTCTCTACCCTGTCACCAGGTGCTAACAAGGGCTCCCGAACGTGCACCTCCCCAGTCTCTCCTCTAGTTCCGTGTCGCCGAGCCCCTCCCAGGAATGCCCCCGCTGCGGCTCACCAATACCTCAGATTTAATGCACGTTCCCTTCCAGCTTCCCGATGTCACCCAGGCACCCGACGCTCCAAACCGCACAGACTGATTTCACTCTGCGGTGGAAGAACTCCGGGTTTTCATTAGAGCCCTTGGCCCGGCTCTTCCTGAGAGGCCCTGAGGTAGCCTTAGTTTCTCCAACAGTAAAATGCAGGTGTAGGCTGAAACGGGCTTGAGGTCCCGGTCCTTGCATCCTATTCCCTTCCATTGGTCATTCTAAACTCGTCTCCCTCCTCACTCTGAATCCTCCGGGAGCCCCCCGTGGCCTAAATGTCTGTTGACCGACTAAACATAAGTCGGAAGGCAACAGGACCCATTAACCTTCTCAGGCTCTCCAGTGTTCCAGACTTCCCAGCTATAGCCACGGGCGCCACCGACCTCCCCTCACCACGGCTCACAACCCCGAGAGTCGTCCCCGACTCCTCACTCACTCTAGATGTCCAATCTCTTGTCGTTTATCCCTTCAAAGCATCTCTCACGAAAGTTCCCCTCTATTCTCACAGACTCTCACCTCCCACCTAGACTACTACAAAAGCATTCTAACTGGTCATCCTCCCTCATGTCTCCCCATTCCAGGCGAGCCTCCCCTCAGCCAACAGCGTGGTCTGACTGCGTCATTGCAGCAAACTCCATGGCTCCCCAGGAACCCCAAGATCCAAAAAAGATCCCGTTGGGACTTTACGGCCCTTTACAACGTGGCCCCATCCTACTCCAGCCACTCTCTCGCCTCGGAGTCTTCTTAGCCCTCCCTTTGTCTTCTCCCACGTGCCCATGATCCAGCTACAGTGGCCCTGACACCTGACACTCCCTTCTTAGAGTCTTTTACTGACGCCTTCCTCACCTCTGCCTTCTGGCCTCCGTGGCTTCCTTCTAGACTCACCTCAAATCCACCTCCCACAGCAAGCCTTCAGAGTTATTCACGTGTTGTTTCCTCCATTAGAATGTAAGCTCCTTGAAGGCAGAATCAATGTTTTTACGTCTCTGTATATTCCTGTTGCTTAGCACCATGCCTGGCTCCAAGTAGGTGCTTAATAAATGCTTGTTGGTTAACTGACTGATTTACTCTGTTGCTGTATTGACTCTGACTCTGCCACAAGGGAGGATTTGGGGAGGGGGGTATATAAGGTAAAAATGTAAGAAATATAAAAGTGTATTGCAACAATGTTACAATAATTAGCTCATTTTTAAGGGGGGGGGGGGTAATATAGTAGTCCCTGAGGTTCAGTTGGTTTCTCCCTCCCCAGATTTAGGGAGTTCTTTCAGATGAAAAGTTCCAAGTTCAGTCATAATAGCTCTGGGCCCCCAGTTAGGAAAATTCCTAACACCCAGGCAAAGGTTGCTTCTATGCTTACCCTTACATTTACATCTGTATCTAATTAACTCTTTACCTCTTCGTGGTTGAGGCTAAATTCAGTTTATTGGAAACCACTGGTAACCAAAACAAAAAAAATTGGCAGGGACTATTATAGCAGATTGATACACAGACATCAGGAGAGGAATGGGGAAAGAGGTGACCTTTGCTTAAGACTTCCCCATAGCCTCAATCCTCCTTTCAGAGACCCCTGTGGACGAGATGACTTTGGGATACTGAGGAGGGGCAGCTAGGTGGTTCAGTGGACAGAGCATCGACCCTGGAGTCAGGAGGACCTGAGTTCAAATCTGGCCTCAGATAGACTAGCTGTGTGACCCTGGGCAAGTCACTTAACTGTCTCTGGAAAAACTAAAAGAAGAGATGATGATGATTTTCCCTGATATCTCCCTTCTCAGCTCAGTCCTCCCTCTGCTTTTCAAAGAGGATCTGGAAAGCCAGCCAGGCTGGCCCCAGTCTCTCAAATGCATCTCCTCAGAATCCCACCACTCCCCCCCCCCCCGCCCCCAGGCCACTTCTTCCTTTTAGACGTGCTTGGGGCATGACCCAAGCTCTCTCCCACAATTGCTTGGGTTAATTCAGGGAGGTGTACAGACCCTGCTTCCACTCAGCTGATTGTCTGATTCAATCAGAAAGTGTCCTGGCCTAGTTAAGACATGGATAGTTTCAACCTCACCCTTGCACATTAATTACAGTAGATTGAAGGCTAGGCTGAGGGCAGAGGCAGGATGAGGGAGCAGGTGGAGAATCAGATCAGTAATTATGACACCTTAAAGCCAGCAGTACATGGAGCTCACCGAAGACAACTCTTGTACAGAGGAGAAAGCTGAAGCAGAGAGCCTCAGCATGTAGACAAGACCCGCCCAGCAAGTCCAGAGCAGAGCAGGCTCACAAGCTGGGGCTTCCCAGTCCCTCACTCAGAGCCCCACTCTGGTGGAGCTCAAACAGTCCCTAAGAAGCCACCTCCCAGAGCTCGTCATGCTGCTTCTGCCACCTGACCCTACATCAGGCTGCCCTTGAGCTGGGAAGCCCGGGGGAAGGAGCTGGGAGATGGGGAAACACAGAGCAAGGCTGGCGCTGACCACACCCTGTGCCTCTGCCAGAGATCTGTCCTCCCTCTCCTCAGTGGCTGGGTTCACCATGTCCCCCACTCTCATCAGCCTGGCGTCCTTTGGTGAGTCCTGGGGAAGGGGGATCTCCCAGACAGACGGGCCCTAGAGTCCTGCCTCCCTTCCCTACGTTCACACTTGTTTACAGAGAAGAACCTATTGACTAAAGGATCCATAATGAGTGAAGGGAAGGAGCAGGGCTCTACCCCAGGTCTTCTGTCCCCTTTCTCTCTAAGAAGGGCGTGGTGAGCCACGTCTAATGGGGGTCTTCTCTGACAGGGCTGTGTCTGGGCCTGAGGATCAGGGTTGAGGCAGGTAAGCTCCTTCTTCCTCTCCCCCCTCCCTTTAGTCCTGCTGCCCCTAATCCTGGCTCTGTATTGACTGAGCAGCCGGGGTGCTAGAACACAGGAGCTGATGGGGGGCTGGGGGAGGTTCCTAGCAGGATCCTTCTGGAGGGGAGCCTGGTGATGGGCAGGGGGAGCGGGGCTGGGCTTTCAGACTCTGATTATCTTCCAGGATTCCTCCCTAGACCCTCCCTCTGGGCCGAGCCAGGGCATCTGATACCCTATGGGGATCCAGTGACCCTCTGGTGCAGGGGGCCTCCTGGAGCTCATTGGTACTATCTGAGGAAAGAAGGAAGCTCTAAGCCCAAAATTATGCATACAGCCAGGGGAGAGACCAAGTTCCCCATTCCTTCTGTGACAAGGGACACCGCGGGGACTACTACAGGCCATCTCACTGGTCAGAAGCCAGTGAGCCTCTGAAGCTGGTGGTGACAGGTGAGGCAAGCCCCTCAACCCTGCCTGGGTCTGTGTCTCCCTCACCCACTGAGGGAAGAGAGTGCTGGGGAGAAGCTCCTGGGAACACCATGAAGGTCTCTGGAGAGCAGGAGGAGCCCCAAGGTGGCTCTGTGGAGGGAGCCACGCCCACGTCAGCACCTGGGCCAAAACCCATCTTCCTTGGGCTGGTTACAGCTCCCCCCTGGCCCCTCCTCCTGGAGCCAGATCCAATCTTGGGGCCAGAGAGAATAGGGGCCCCTCAGCTCTGACCTCTGGAGACAGGGTAACCTGGGCTCCCCTGGGGGACAATGGGGGCTCTCCCACCCTATTCATCATCTTCAAGAAAGGAAAGGGAAGGAGAGAGCCAGAGGGACCCCTGGGACCCTCCCTCAGCTCAGGCACAGGCACAGGAACGGAGGGGACCTCTTCTAACTACAGGCTCTCTCCCTCAGGCCTATACAGCAAACCCTCCCTATCAGCTCTGCCCAGCCCTGAGCTGGTCTCAGGACAAAAAGTGACCCTTTGCTGTCAGTCAGAATACAGATTTGACAGTTTCGTTCTGTATAAGGAGGAAGGGAACAATACCCCTCAGCACCGGGAAACTAGAGACCAGGCAGATTTCCCCATCCCTGCTGAGACCGCTGCCTATGGAGGCGCCTACCGATGCTATAGCTTTCACAGTCAGCACCCCCTCCTATGGACAGCCCCCAGTGATCTGCTGGAGCTCAGAGTCATAGGTGAGCAAGCCCCCATCCAGCCCCTGTCCCACTCATCAGCCCCAGTGCACTACTGGCTGGCTCTGCAGGTGCCTTAGTAAATGTTCCTTCCCTTCCCTTGTTCTGCTCCTGGGAGCCCAGAGCCTGAGAGGTTTGTGGCGAGGGAGCCCCTGGGCTCTCCGGGGGCTGGAGAGGTAGGGAAGGGGATGGAGATGGAAGAACATCAGGACATGACGTGAAGAAATTGTGAAGCCCACATGACCCTGCCAGAGACAGAGAGAGGCTGGACCAAGTTGGAAGTGGGGAGCAGGGGTTAAAAGGGGGAGCAGGTAGAAACAAGTTAAAGTACCCCCATCCTCTCTCCCCACTCCTCATCCCATTCCCAAGAGCCACTGGGGATGATCGGCACCCTCAAATTCTCAGCAAGCTGTGGGGACCGGTAGACTCACCAGCTAGTGAGTAATCAGAAACTCTCAGTATAGCAGCGGCGGGTGTCTCACCGACTCTGCCTCCCCCAGTCCTGGCCTGGGGGCACCCTTGCCGTGTCAGGAGGCTCAGGGTTCTGTCCCTGGGGAGGAGAAAAAGCTTGAAGAATAGGGGCATATGTCCCCCATGGAGCCAGGATCAGAGGAAACAGGTGAGAAATATTGGGCACATGAGTGCCCTGGCTGGGGAGGAGGTAATGAGGGCTGGCCCTGAGCAAGGGAGAGGAACAGCTACGGGGGAAAGAAGAGTCAGTTCAGCCTCTCACCTCCTTCCCAGGTCTCCTCACCTCTCACCCACACAGCCGTGCGGAAGATCCCATGCTCTCATCATGAGATGTGTGGAAATAGGAACACCCTATTCCTGTCTCAGTGACAACTTCCTTCCCCCACACGCAGCCCCCCAGGATCACACCACAGGAAATCTCATCCGCCTCAGCCTGGCTGGACTGCTCCTCCTTGTCCTGGGAGTCCTCCTGGCAGAGGCTTGGCACAGCCGGAGGAAGCACCGAGAAGCAGCCCAGTAAGCCCTTGTCTGAGCACTGGGTTCAAATGAGTCGGGAAGGGCGGCTCCACTTGGTGCCTCCAGCTGGATGCCCCTGCAACAGGAATAAGGCGTGATTTACGATCCGTATATTGTCGGCTCTGCTCAGGTCCCTTGCCTCTGCTCCTGTGCCCGACCACACCTTGGAGGACTCTCACCATCCACGTTCCCACCTTTGAACTGGAGAAAATCATGAAACTGTTGACTCAGTCCAGAACACTGTTGTTATTTGGTGGTGTTGTTTTTCTTAAGGTTGCCTCTGTCCAGGAATCTTGTATAATCCTAAAATATTCATGAGATTTTTTTAAAAAAGTAATCAACAACAGAGTGCAAATCTTGTATTCTCTAAACTTCTCAGTCATTTGTATAGCTGTGAAGTCTCATGACAATAGCTTGTTTTACATCTAGAGGCAATATAATGGTTCCTAACTATGAATTACCCTATGACAAACTGATAGATTATATAGAAGCATTTGAGCAGGTCAAGAACTCAAGTTAAGGAGTGTCTAACGGCAAATACTAAACCCCAACCACCTAGACAGTATTTACCTGTTTGTGGTATCCAAGGAAGGGGGGCTTCACAGACCCATAGATACTGACTCAGTAAGTGTAGGAAAGATGGACCCAAGCATGATTCCATGACACCTAGGAAAGACAATGGAAAAGAAGGCCAGTTGCCCTGAGGCGTGAACATTGGCACCAGAAAGAGGTCAGGAAGGCAGATGTTCCTTCTGCTACAGCTGTGGACAAGATGACCACATACAGGCCACGCGGATCTGGGAAGAGAACACAGCATGGATGGTAGAGAAGTTGTGGACTACAGGACCAACTCTAGAAGGGAAAAATGAGACCAGGAAAGGAGAAAGACCCAGCCTCACCAGCCATTCCTGATGGATTGTTTCCCATCACAACTTGTAGGCTGTCATAAAAGGGTGGCAGAAAATTGAGAGCACAGAGCTGTCTTAGACCATGTAGCTCATTCCAGTCATTCCATGAAAACCATTTGAAGTACCTATACAGCCATTTGAAGGTTTTGGCCTTGGAGAGTTGAGTGACAAAATCCATCATTGCCTAGGATACATTGAAGTAACTTTAGAATTGCCTGAGGAGATTGCTGGGTCAACAAGGCAGTGGGTATTCTGGCCCTGGTGCTCCCAGAGCCAACCTGCATGAAGGGAATGACAGCTTTAATTGGAATCAATGTCAGTCTACTGAGCATCCTCACCGGATACTTGAAAACCACACGTTAGGACTTGATCCCTGCATACTTTGACCTTCAATGCAATTTGCACAGAAGTCTATAGAAAAACAGATTCAAGTTGCCACAGAGAAAAACATCAGAGCCCTGGCCTTTTAGCTTCAGAAGTAGATCCAAGGAACTGATTTTGGGGCTCCCCTAGTCCAGGGGAGTTGAGAGAGAAGTTTATCAAGGAGACAAATGTGTTCTCAATGCATGAATAGGGTGTGAGATGTGCCCAAGGAGGGGCATCAAAGAGCCAACCCACTGACTCACAACCATTCCCAGAAAGATCTAGAAAAATTTTTTGTCTGTGATGAATTATCTCAGAAAACATCTCAAGGACCCAATGGCCTCATGGTGGTGGTACCAATGAGGAATGGAAAGGTGCACTTGTATATTAAACCAGAGAGCCAAATGTGGACCAATAGACTATGCCAAGTGTTCATGATGCCCTGGATTGTCTGCTAGGCAGCCAGTGGTTTTCTGTTGTGGATTTGTACAATGGCTCCTACCAGATCTCTAAGGCAGAGGGAGACAAGAAGACTGATTTCATTGCCCAGTTTGAGAGCATTCTTAGAGACATCTCAGGAGTACCTTCTACTTTCCAAAGACCAAGAAGCTGGTTGCAGAAGTGAACATGCAAGTTGGTATACCTTGATGACATGATTATCTTTGAAGAAGACTTTGGAAAGACATGAAGAAAGACTGTTGTTGTTGTAGACATGGTCCGTCCTTCATTCTCAAAAAGGACCATGACATCAGGGAGGTGATGCCATGACATGCAAGTGAATTGGATTGAAGTGAGGGAGGAGCTGTGCCTCACTTTCTCCTCTGGAGCCATCTGGATCCAGTGGCCAGATATGGATCAGGATGACTGAAGATGGCCCAGGATGCAGTGGGAGACCTTGGCCTTTTTAAGCTAAGGTCTTTAACAAAAAGACTGATTAAAGTGTTGGATCAACTCAAGAAAAGATTGCTCAACTCTTCCACTGACAAGGACCAATTCTAAAGAACCTCAAGCATATTGGGTTACACTGTATCTCAACATAGTGTGAACACTGGCCCAGGGGAGGTAGGAACACTTCTGACTTGTCCACACTCAAAGAATCTTCAGGACTTGAGGACTTTTCTAGGATTTAGTGTTTTTTTAATTAATTTATTTCGATTTATCAGCAATCACTTCCATATGCTTTTGAGTTTAAAAAATTTTCCCCCTTCCTCCCCACTACCCTCCCCAAGATGGCGTACAATCTGATATAGGCTCTACATATACAATCCTATTCAACATATTTTCACATTAGTCGTGTTGTAAGGAAGAATTAGAACCAATGGGAGGAACTAGTGGTTTTATTTTTTTAAATGCTCTCACTCAGTCTGAGTGACCTGAGTCAAATATTTAGTATTGAGGAGTCATGGAAGCAAAAAGACAACACACAATTGCCTTAAAACCAACAAAATCCTTCAGAGCCCAATGGAAGACAGAGAGATGTAAACAAGCTTTCAGAGCCCAGAGCAGCTGCCTCCCATGAGCGCCAAAGCCACGTCATGGACCCTCCTCTCTTTTCCCGCCATACTATCTTGCTCAATAATCTCATCGGATCCTCTAAGTTTGAGTATCTCCTCTACACCGATGATGCCCAGATCTCTATCTCCAACCTCATCTCTCCGCTCCAATCTCCAGGCTTACATTACCAGCTGTCTTTCAAAATTCTTGAACTAGAAGCCCTACAGGTATCTCAAGCTCAACACATCAATAATAAAACTCATTATCTGCTCCCCTTCCCAATATCCCTGTTACTGCAGATGGCCCCATCAACCTCTAGTCACTCTGGCTTAAAATGTGAGTGACATCTTAGATTCCTCACATTAGATGGTGTCACCCCCTGTGGGAATATAAGCTCCTTGAGGGCAGGGAATGTCTCACTTTTAGATTTGTGCCATCAGCATTCACCTGGTTACTATCCAACAATCAGTTTGGCACCAGGTCAAGCACAGATATGTTGGGCATTCTATTGCCAAGTCAACACTGGAGCATTCATTAATGACTATTCTTTGACTCCACACATTCAATCACTTTCAAAGTCACTTAACTGTACCACCATCTAGCCTCCAATTCTGTGTCTTAAAGTGTTCAAACATCTCTGTGCCTCAAGAAACTCCCTGGAGCCTATGTACTAAATCTTGGGGGACAGAAGGGGAATTGTGGGAATACATCAGTGCAGCAGATCTAGAAAAGACCAGATTGCCCACAAACACCCCACAAAAGGCCTGAAAATGCACCAAAAGAGACAATCACAAAGAAAACCAAAGATAATCAGCCACCTACACCAGGACTTCACTGAAAGATTATCAGAATCCTGTAGATGCTTGGAGTAGAGACAAGCAGGGTTGGAGAAATGTGAAATACAAAATAGCACAATCCCCCCAACAGAAGTCAGTGCCAATTAAGCCCTCAAAGCAGTTGAACTAGGTGCCCCAGATGGCGTGGGCAGGATTAGGGCTGGTGCTCTATCCACTGTGCCACCTAGCTGCCCACCTTGGCCTTTTTAAGCTATTTCCCAGGCCTCAGTCTGTCTGAAGCTACACCCATTCAGTGATTAAGGCTAGGTGAGAAATGAGGCAAAAAATGGCCTCTTTTACTTAGTCAAATATATATATATACATATATATAAGCTAAAGGAAAAGGGACCCAGAAACGGGGTTTTCCTTCAACCACTAAGGGATTCTGCACAGGCCCCATAGCCATGGGGGCAGCTGTGAGGCACAGCAGATAGAACACCAGACCTGAAATCAAGTTCAAATGTGCTGCCTTCTAAAAGAAATGCCAAGATTAAAAACTCCCATAAATGTCACAGCCAAAATCCAGAGCTTCCAGTGCAGTAAAAAAAATCCTGCAAGATCCCCCAAAAAGCACTGGGTATACTTTGAAATGGAAATGTAGGCAATATGGGAAACATTTAAAAGATATACACATTTGATGAACTAGACTGGACTGGATGGAAGCGATAAACATGAGCTTGAACAGACTTCAGGAGACAGCAGAAGACAGAATTGCTATAAGCCCATCGAGTCACAAAGACTGATGTAACAACATGAAGATTGATTACTTATACCCTGACTGCAGGAGAAGAAACAAGTGTCTCCCCAGAGCCCTAATGTCTTTAAGAAATAGGCATCCCGTGTGTTTCATTTTCATCTAACCCAGAAAAGTAAAGATAGAACACAGAGAGAGAGAGAGAGATGGATGGATAGATAGATGGATGAATAGAGGATAGATGGGTAGATGTGTACAGATATAAATGTGTGTGTGCATGTGTGTGTATATACACATATGTGTGTGTGGCCAAAACTGTTTGTTTTCAACCAGTGCCTGGGGCATAGTAAGTACTGAAGAAATACTTGCTGATCGATTGATTAATGGTACCAGAGGGCATAACTGAGAACGTTCTGTTTGCTGTCAGCGTAACCTGAGCATGGTGCTCCATACCTACCCCGCCTCTCTCTCAGCAAGCCCACTAACCTCAACTTGCATTTATGCTAGCAAGTCTAGAGTTTTTCCCAGAGTAGGGTGTGGGCAGAAGCATGCTAGTAAATGTTTAACAGTAAGCTCTCTGAGAAAAAAAAGTATATGTGACCCATTTTTAAGTTTAATCTGCATCATTACCATTTTCTCCTTCACTCTCTTAAGTCTAGGCAATAAAACAAGCCCTGATTTGTAACCTTTGGCAATCTCTAGGGTGCGAATGGTCATACCAAAAATTTAGCAATGGGTTCTCTGGTATGATCTGGCTCCAGCCCACCCCTAATGGTGGCTACAGCCACAATGATGCTGCTACAAGTCACTTTTGTCTCACGGTCTAAGGGTGAGCCAAGATGAAGAAGGGGAACGTACTCCTGCGACTCACCACCACAGCTCCTGGGACCCCACCAGTGTGCTTCCCATTTACACAAAATCAGTAGCAATGACACGCTGAGCTGCAGCTACATTTACATGACTCATTTCTTACCCATTTTTCAAATAGTTCCTCTTAGCACCTTTATAAAAGAGTAGTTTTCTTTCACATCCTCAGAAGAGTCTGTTT